TTCCTAGACACAGTACAGGACAAATTTTTAAAACATCTAATTAGAACCTACTAGAAGTGACAATATATTAGACCTGGTATTAACAAATAAAAAGAAAATATTATCAGAGATATTACAATAGGGGAAGGGCAAGGGAACAGTGATCACAGAAGAGAGAAATCAAGTTTACCTAAATTGAAATAAAAAAATAATGACAATATGCTCAGAGTCCCAGACTTTCGATCGGCAGATTGAGGGCTAGAAGGTCAGGCTTCTCCATTGTTAAGATAGGTGAGGTTACGGCGACACATCAATTGATCATGAATATAATAAATTCACTAGTGTTCACGTAAGCACAAGGAATAAAATATACCATACATAAAAATTAGGTCAAATAAGAATGAACCAAGGTGGATGACGAAAAAAACTTAAGCATGACATAGGAATAAAGAAAGAATTTATTAGAAATTAAAGGGGAGGGGGAGCATCTCAGAGATAGGTATAATGAACTATCTGGAATATTAAGACAATGTAGGAGAGGCAAAGAGGGACTTCTGTGACCATGATAGCAAGAATCAGGCCGAATCCAAGGAATTTTTCCGGGTATATGGGACAAAGGTCAAGGACAAAGTGGGACCTTTAAAGTCAGAGGGAAGTGATCGATAGTGAGGAAATTATGCAAAGCATTAAACAGTTACTTCTTATCAGTTTTTCACAGAAAGAAATTCACGAGGAAACGCCGGAGAGGGAACTGATATTTAGAGGAAATGAAGAAGAAACTAAAGGATATCACTACCAGAAAGGGATGTTCATAAGAAGATAAATAAATTTAAGAAGATAAAATCCCCAGGGCCGGATGAAATTTTCCCTCGAGTTTTGAAGAGTGTGAGGAACAGATTAGCGGACCCTTGTAAATTTATTTAAAATCATTAGACAAGGGAGTTATTGCCAGACTTGTGGAAGCAGGCAAATGTAGTATCCATATTCCAAGGAGACAGAGCATCAGCGTCAAATTAGCCGATTAGTTTGACGTCAGTAGTGGGAAATTTCTTGAATCAATTATAACCAAACAACGCGAAGCGCATATCGAGAAAAACAAATTAATCTACGAAGTCTCAACATGGATTTACAAAGGAAAATCCTCTAACAAATCTCTGACGTTGTTAGGAAAGTCTATGAGGTAGTAGATAATGACGAAAATTACGATGTTATTTACTTAGACTTTAGCAAAGCATTTGACAGAGTACCTATCAGGAAAGCTTCTGAAAAGTTGAGGCTCATGAAATTATTGAGAAAGTTTTAAACTGGATATTAAAATCATGGCTCACCGATGAGGCCCACAGAGGGTCAGCATAAGTGGTGCTGTGTAACTTGGCCGAGAAGGGTTCCCCAGGGGGTCAGTACTGGGCCCCTCTAGTTAATAGTCTACATAAAAACTATTATCTAGATGCACTAGGATCAGCTTGGTGACATAAGCAAGTTGCGGATGATGACCTGTAAAATAAGACGCATGGATCAATTCAGGAATTGAGGTTGCAAGTACTGGGAGGATTTAAATAAACTGCAGGAGTGGTCAGACAAATGGCAAATGAAATTCAACACCTGCAAATGCAGCGTACTTAATATTGGAAGAACAAATACTGTCAATTTATACAGCCTTAACAACATCAACCTAGGGGTACTTGTAAGCCCAGACCTTCGGCCTAGAAAACAGTGCGTTAATGTTCGCAATAAGGCAAATAGAGTATTTGGTTTTATATCTAGACGTGTAAGTAATAAGAGTGCGGAGGTCATATTGCAACAATATCTTGTGCTAGTCAGGCCGTACGTCGATTATGCGGTTCAGTTCTGGTCCTTTATTATAGAATGGATATCAAATCACTAGAGTCGGTGCAGCGAAGAATGACGAAAATGATGCAGGACTTAGAAACATTCCCTATCAAGATAGATTAAAGAAACTAAACTTGCATTCCCTTAATGAATATATATATATATAAATAAATAATATATATATATATATATATATATATATATATATATATATATATATATATATATATATATATTATATATATATATATATATATATATATATATATATATATATATATATATATATATATATATATATATATATGAAAGGGAGAAAAGAAGAAGGAGAAGAAAGGAAATGCTGCGTTTAGCACGTCGAAGGATGAGGGAGAATAACCTAAGATTTAAACCTAAAAGTGTGAAATAATGGCTTCCAAAGTAAGTTATTTAGGATATCAGGTGTCAGCTGAAGGCATCACAGCTGATCCTGAAAATTAGGTAGTAAGAGATTGGCCAGTCACTCAGACGGTGAAAGATGTGCGGTCTTTGTAGGGTTCACATCATTTTATAGGAAATTTGTTCAAGGGTTTGCCCAAATAGCTGTCCCACTGCATGCGTTGATGCATGGGAAATCTAAGGATCGGGTAGATAGTGAGTGGGGAGAGGAACAACAACAAGCTTTTGAGAAACTGAAAGACAGGGTGACGCAGACACCGGTGTTGGCTTGCCCAGATTTCACTCAGGAGTTTATATTAGAGACAGATGCAAGTTTTAGTGGGCTAGGCGCGGTGCTGTCCTAGCGGAAGGACGTCAGGTTGCATCTGGTGTGCTATGCAAGTCGGGGCCTAAGGAAATCAGAACGTAACACGAACAACTATAGTTCCCGTAAGTTAGAGATGTTAGCACTCAAATGGTAGCAGAGTCGTGAGGACTGGTCAAGCTAGCAGGACCACCCCTGCGTTGTACCCAGGAGAGACGACCACGTGAACTGGTTTCCTTCGTTTTTTAACATCAGTATTAACAAGTGAGTTTTATTCAATCTCAGACAGAGCTAGATAGGGTGGTAGGAACAAACAATGAGTGAGTGACGGTGATGTGAGACAATAGCTAACAGAGGGTTTATTGCAGGTTTTCTGTAGAGCCCACGCGGTATGAAACGTCCACACACGATCTGTACGCGTCCACTCACCTGAGTTGAACCCACGCGGTTAAGTATGGTGAAAATTGGAGTGAAACCAGCTGTCTGGGTGTACAACTAACGACGTGGGACCATCGTCTGTCCCCGTTTGATGATCGTTTGGGGTCATCAGATCTCCTCTACCGCGGCTCACAATATCACATATCTTCAAGCAGTTTAGTGAAAACCTTTTACTAACGGGAAGCTAAAGCTCCTCTCAACTGTACAAGGTCTAATTTGCTCACTCTCTTCCGTTTCATGGATGTACTGAGTGTAAAATGAGGCTAGCTGAGTAAATGAATGGTCACACACTGAGACCAGGAGTCTAGTGGGTACTTAGAGGTACATTTTTCAAGGTTGATAAGGGCTTGTTTGTGCCTTAGGAAAATACGGGTGCATGCTTGGTTGCGCCTTAAGAAAATACGGGTGCATGTGGAACCTATGTATGAGGTTAAGGAGCATGTTTTCACGGGTATTGGTGGGCTCAATAACTTCTTCATATAGTGATAATATTTTTTCAGTTACTGATATTGTCTTGCTGTGTGTAGTTAATATTTCTTAAATAGATTTTATAGTATTGTTTTTTAATGTTTGTGTCACTAATTGATGTCAGATAATGAGGGAACTGTTTTTCAGATGAGGTTCCTCCTTTCTGCTGCAAGTAATACTGTTGACTTAGTTCTTTTAATGCATTTAATATTTTTTTATAATTTCAATATCATGTATAACTTTTGTTCCTCCAGTGTAGTGTCTTAAGCCAGGTTAAGAGGTGTGTATCTGTTGGTGTAACATAATTTTGTTGAGTGCCCTTAAGGCCTATTCATGGTGGAGTTAATAATTTCTTATTTTCTAAACCATTTTCTGTGTGATTGATATTATTTTGTTGAAAGCCCTTAAGGCCTGTTCATGTGTGCATATAACATATTCTTAATACTTTGAATTTATTGTTGTCTAATGAAGCATTTTCTAAGTTTCTAATAATTTCAATATAATGTATAACTTTTATTCCCCAGAGTAGTGTTTTAAGTTCAGGTTAAGAGGTGCGCATATGTTGGTGTACCATTATTGATTGTGTCTGTAGTGTTGGAGGGAATAGAAGTGTCTAAATTTTACAGTGCGTCTCATTCATCCCAATCACAGGTGCTATCCTTCCACGGGTCACGGAGAATTCATTTTTTTAGTAAATTTATGTGTGTTTGTGCTGGTTTTGTTTTTTTCTCCAAGGGGCGCTTCCACTGCAATTACTATCAAATAATAATAAACCCCAAATCAAGGGAGAATCGAATTCCGACCGGTTATTTATGTATATATATATATATATATATATATATATATATATATATATATATATATATATATATATATATATATATATATATATATATATTACATTCATAAATTTATTTATTTATTTTACTACACAGGGTGTTTGTTCTGAAAAATATTACTTTTAGATTATCCTTTATTAGAAGATGATCAAACTCACAGAAGCTTGTGCACAAATTATCAACAAATGTTGAAAACAAGACAAAGCTTTAATATAATAACAAATAATGTTGTGGTTATCGTGGGGAAGAGGATTAAGAGTCATCAACCACAGTATCAATAGACCCCAATCTAACTAGTAGGATCGTTGTAACATCCTAATGGTCTGGTTACATTATGTAAGTGGAGGGAGGGGGTTATTAGGGTACAAGTTCCTTTGACTTGCTACATGTACATGGTTTACTTTCTGGAGGTATGACACGTCATCCAAGGTTAAGAAAGCTTTTGATTGTAAGTTTCCAGTCGAAGGAATTTCATGTAAACATTACTATATCTACCATACATAAACACATTAGTTATAATCGTGAGAGGTGACCACTAAAATATTATAGAGACTGAAGGTCTTATTTTGTTGAATATAACTGTACGATTATATCAGCGGAACTCTTTTTATATATATATATATATATATATATATATATATATATATATATATATATATATATATATATATATATATATATATATATCTTTTTTCTAAATGGGAAAATATTTCTGTCTTATCTATTTCTAATTTGAATCAAAGTCGATGAACTTTAAGAATATAATCAAATCTCTGGTAAGTATATATATGTATATGAAGTTTAAAAAAGAAACTATTTTTATGTACACTGTTCATTAAATTTGCTAATTCTATTGGGTGTATCAAAATAGTGATATTATTTCTGTAGTTTTTAGTTAAGAGAACAATCAAGTAAGTTCCACCTAGCACACAACAGCGTTCAAAGTTAATTATTGTAGTTGTCTCATCATTAAACCTCGACACACAGACACGCACTGACAGCATGTACTGTACAAAGTCATCTCTCATTTTTCCGTTCAAAAGTTTTGCCTATAATTTCTACTCAGAGACAATAGCTCTGCCTCTATATAATTGGTCTCCGTCTTCAATTTTTTTACGTACGAATAAAGAACAAGACATTGGTAAGACCAGCGTAACGAAGGCACTAGAGAAGGTGCCCAGCAAGACTATCATTCATTCGCCTTGTTCTCGCCTGACCCAGCAAGGTGAGTCACCACTCTTGTTTTCATTACATTCTAGTTGTATGAGCTTATAACGTGACATACACTTTTCCTCAATATCTTTTCGTGATTTTATCAGATTGTGCTCAGAGCAGTCGGTGTCTGACTCTTGAACACGGCAGCTCTGTGGCTACATTACGACAGGTGACTAGAGAAGTGGTTTGAGGTTTTCGACAGATACAAGTCCATCGTGACTAAAATTTGGATGCGCTTACGTCAAAGGACTACAAAGACTGCTCCATATACACTGTCGAGGTAGCACAATTTCTATACAACGCGGCAATAAGCTGCCGCGAAATAGATGGCAAACACCAGGATGCTCACAATAAATTGTGAACTGCAGCGGAGCTAATTGGCGAAGACCAGGTGGTTTTTATTGAGTTCTGAGCTGCGGTGGAACTAGTTGACGAAGATTTGCCGGATTTCAGAAAGTGTTAAGTCTGGGTTTCCTGCTGTCGTCCTCCGAGTGAGTTGGGGAGGTGGTGAGACTTCGACTCTGGGGTCTCGGTGCTTCCTGGTGGCTCTTTTCAAGGTGTGGGTCAGAACCAATGGGAGTGTGACAGGGATGTGGGCGAGGCGGTACCGGCTGAATATTCCGGAAGAAATGAAGAAGACGCTCACTCTTTGGGGAAGGACTCAGCAACCTGGAGGGAAACAAGACAGTGTTAGATGTATCCCAAATTTCAAGTCTCCATATTCTACAAGTAAGATACGCATTTATTTATACCAAATTTTCTTCTGTAACGTTGCCTTTCACAGATGGTAGCCAATACCTGCCTCTCCAATGCATTATTTCGCGGAGACAGAACCAATATTGCGTTCTAGGAATAGCATCCCCGTCTGTTATTGGCTGGACGTCACGGCATTAGATCTGATATGAACAATTGGTGACGTTACTGAAGGCCACTAGTTTTTCTTAATAACCTGCAGAATGACCAGGTGATGTCCCGAGTCAGAAGGAGAATAACAGCCTTATGTAGAGTATACATAAGTGACTCTAGTGTAACAAGTGTATGAAACAAATTAAGAAGAGCGTAAGCATGAACTGTCCTTCTGTAACTAAAATTAATGCCTCTCTCACCTACAGCGTGACCAGGTGAGAAGAAATATGCAAGGAGGTGACCAGGTGAGGAGATATACTCAAGGAAGTGAACAGGTGAGGAGAGATATTCAAGGAAGTGACCAGGTGAGGAGATATACTCGAGAAAGTGAACAGGTGAGAAGAGATACTGAAGAGGAGAGATACTCTAGGAAGTGACTAGGTGAGGAGAGATACTAGAGGAAGTGACCAAGTGAGCAGAGATACATGAGGAAGTGACCAGGTGAGGAGAGATACTCGAGGAAGTGACCAAGTGAGAAGAGATACTTGAGGAAGCGACCAGGTGAGGAGAAATACTCTCTTTTCTAGAGCGTATCCAACCATCCGAGAGGGTGGACGTGCTGCCGCATCGCTCCAGGCTCGTGTTCAAATTTGTTGACAGTGGCGACTGTCACCCTGTTTTTCACGTTGGACTCGCTCTGGCTGCTTTATCTTGAAGATGTACATGGACATTATTATTCTAGCACACTATGCTTCTTCCTTACCCTATCCTTTCGCCTAGAGTCCTTGCCGTTTGGTAACGACGCGAACCCTGCGGGCAGAGCCACAAGGGGGCCCTCAGAGGGCTGCTGAGTCGAAACAGTAAGGGCGGCAACATTTTCTGTTAATGTTTCGGCAGTGCTTCATAACCTGCCACTGTTAGGTGTTAGGAGTTGGCTAGGCCCCCGTCAGGGGATTGTCTATTCACCCTACCCCTAGACCCGTCTTTACTCGCCCAGCAAGTGGACGGAAGGAGCGGCATCCATGGGGTTCAGCTGAGGTGGACAGATTAGATAGGATTTTCATGTATGTAACTGACCATGGCCGAAGTGAGAGTGAAGCTCTCCAGAATCTCTACCCAGGGGTCTCGGATAGGGCTAAAAAGGCTATTAAGCGAACTAAGGGTGAGAATAAATAGACTTGTGGATCTGAGAGATGGTTACAACATCCTTACAGAAACAGATGAAGATGCTGATAAACTACTTAAGTCTGGTGCCATGGACACAATGGAAACTAACGGGAATACGGCGCCAAGCTCACCCTTGTATGTAGGAAGTTGGACAAAGATGTGGTGGAAAATAATGCAGAAGAAATAAGAGATGAAATAGAAAAGCAAAAAAAGTCAAGATTGTGGAGGTGTACCCTATGTATGCCCATAATATAATCAAGCTTCGCTTTGCAGACACAACGATGCAAAGATAATGAAGGAGAAGGGGCTCTATGCATATGGCACTTCCATCTCATCACACCAAATAGAATACGAAAAGCATACGCCCATCCATCAATGTATGAAGTGCTACAAATACAATGACCACATGACCAAGAACTGCCCCCTGCTCTGAGTGTTCATCTGATCAACACTTCTACAAAGACTGCCGTAGCACCATCAAAAAGTGTGTCGTCTACAGGGGTGGCCACAAGACCTTCTCTGCCACCTGTCTGGTCAGGAAACGGGTAATTCAAAGACAGAGAGGAAACTGACGGAATTAACCAAACAAAAAGAAACCAGGGAAATTTCTATCAACGTGAAAAAGACCACCCAGTCGACGATCATGGCTTACAGCCAGACCCTAAAAGACTCTCTGAAAGAAACTCAAGCTGACTCACAAAAACTCAATAATGTCAGCGAGACCATGGAAGTCCTGCAATCAGAGATACGAACCATCAAGGATTCAATAAAGCAGGCAGTGACTGGGTCACTGGGCGCCAGGAGGGACGCAGTGGCGGAGAGCATAAGGAGCGTCTCCTCTCTACAGTTGGAGGAGTCCAAAACCACATCTTTATACTCGTCTTACCTGCATGCCCATCACATGAACATTGTTCATCCAGGTTCATTCTCGAGACACCTCAACGAGACACTAACCAGGAACAACATTGCACCTGTTGAAATAAGCGACAAAGTCCCTTCAAAAGAAATCCTGAAGGCTGTAACCCACTCAACGACTTATCGACGAGCTCAACCCACTCCAGAAATAGACCATGACCTCCCTGAATTAGGCAAAAGTCAGTATAACCGTTGCCCCGACGTGGCCAGTCAGTCCTCCTGGGATCACAGCTCCAACGACATCGTGAATGTCCGTGACCCCAAGACATGTACTCCCAGCGACGACAACCACCATCGGGCTGCAACTACAGTCAATAGTTGTGAACAGGTGATGGTGACTTACTCCACACAGAAGCAAGACCCTCGAGCTGCAGCGTCAGTAGACGACTTCAACACGCAGGCCCACGACCTGAACACCTTCCTGTACACGGGTGACGGGAAGTTCGAGGGCCCCAAACTACAGTCTTCGAAAGGGCAGTCGTTAGAAGGATGAAAATTGTCTAACATAATGTCCTACACTGGTCCCTTAATAGACGTAACGAGCTGTCTAACTTATATTATCAATTAGACCCAGACATATTCTGTTAAACAGTACTGGCATAAAGGACGAAAATAAGCCGAAAATTTTTGGGTACACTCTATACCAGAGGAACATGGCGGTGTCGCTGTGGCCATCAGGTCACGGCTGAATCACAGAGTGTTGTTAGATTTTGAGGATTCAGTTATAGGAGTGCAAGTGGAGACCACCAGGGGACCTGTTATCATATGCATGATGTACCTACCTCCCAGACTTCCTTATTTACCCGAACAAGATCTCAACCAGCTGCTGCGCCACAGAAAACCAACATACAGTACATCAAAGGGGACTTGAATGTGCGCCATGCCATACTTGGACACGGTAATGAGAATAACGTCGATGTTGCGGTGTTTGACAACAACAGCAGGGGCAAACTGCAACACTTCGGGCAAGATTTCCCTACACTGATCAGACGTGCCAGTGCCACAACACCCGACATAATCCTCTCTAACAACGAGGCCGTCCTGAACAAGCACGTTACCGCCGGACCCACCAGTACCAGCGATCACCTGCCAGTCGTCGTGAAACTCTCATCCAATCCCATTATAATCCCAGCTAACATCAGTTCAAACCTCAGACGGGCAGACTGGGACTCCTTCAAGAAGTTTTTCAGTCTCAAGAGGCCAGCCTCAATGACATCGACGACGCTGTCGAGCAATGGTACACTGATGTGAAGATGGAGATGAACAACAACATCCCGACTACCACCCACAAGACCATTCCCCACCCTCACACTAGTCACCAGCTGAGGCAGCTCAGTGTCCAGCACAATCACGTGAGACAGCTAGCCAGTATCCGCGGGTGGACGCAAGAGCTGAGAGACGGTTAACAAGAGCTACAGACGGACATCCAGCACGAGAGCAAACGTCTTCATGAACAAAAGTGGGCCGCCATGTTGTGGGAGGAAGCTAATAATTACCGCGACTCGGTTGTCTTCTGGAAAGGGATCAAGCGACTGATGGGTTCCACCTCTCACTCGGTTCCCTCACCTGCTCGACCAAAACAATGAGAAAATATTCGAGGGGGAAAACCAAGAACAATTTCATCGGCGATATTTGCGAAAGATCTTCTTTACCATTAGTGACCAGGAGAACGAGGGCTTCGACAAGGAGTTTAAGGAGGACATTTTAGGTCAGTTGCAGGCCCATCAGTCCCTGCTCCAGCCGCTCGCACGGACTGACTTCATTAGACTGGCGGACGACAGCAACCTGCAGATGTGTCATCCGCCATAAAAGGGTTTAAAAACAAATCACCAGGGCAAAGCCATATTAAAAAGAAGATCCTGGCCCAACTCCCCGATAACAGAATAGAGAGGGTTGCTCATATATGCAATGACTGCCTCGCCTCTGGACACTTCCCGAAGATGTTCAAAACCGCCGTTATCCGCCTCATACCAAAAGCAGGGAAGCCTGCAAACAAAGTCGAAAACTTTCGACCGATATCGCTACTGGAGGTAACAGCCAAAATCCTCGAAAAAATAGTAAAGAAGCGGACGAAGTGGTGCATAATTCCCGCCAATTCGACTTCCGCCAGTACCGAGGCACATCCACCGCCATAGCCCACGCCTACGTTGCACAGGAGGCGGCCAGCCTCAAGTGCAACTTAGTGCTGATGGACGTCAGCAAGGCGTTTGACTAGGTTTGGAACGCGGGGCTGCAGTATAAGATCTTACAACTGGGGCTACCCGAAAGCCTGACGCGCCTGCTGTGCAACTTCATTACGGACCGCAGAGCCAAAACCAAGATGCAAGAACATTGTGGAGTGAAATTCTCAATTTCGAGAGGCGTTCCTAAGGGCTCTTGTCTCTCAACAACCCTTTGCACACTTTACACTGCTGACCTGCCACTCCCAATCGTCAGCAGTGAGTACGTCATGCATGCCGACGATGTGACAGATCGTCACCTGCCCAGGAAGGTCCACGGAAAGGATGGTGAAACTCACTGCTAAGACAATAAAGGATATCTCGGGGTATGAAAATAAATGGAAGATAAAAACAAACAAAGCAAAATTCGAGGTCATACCCAAAGCCAAATTCAAGCCGGCCCCATTGATGATCGACGACGAAGAGATTGAGTACTCTAAACAAGGCAGGTTGCTCGGCCTCATCATCTCTCGGACAGACTAAAGATAACCAAAGTCGTCACCGCCAAATTAAAACGTTTTAAACAGATGCCTGAGAAGATACAAGTCCACCTGTACAAGGCGCTCGTGAGGCCTGTGTTTGAGTACTCACACGTACCACTCGTCAAGACCAGACTGCAACAACTACATAGCTTCCAAAACAAGTGTCTGAGGTCAGCCAGTGGCCAAGTGCCACCCTACCAGGAGACAGTGGAAACTATTCACCTGAGAAATAAAACGGAGGCCCTCAACGTCAGGTTCCATCGCCGAGGGAAGAAGGTTTGGGGCAAGCTCCTGGACGACCCTCACAGCGCAGGCCACCTACGAGGGAAAGACATCGACGGAGGGCGACCCCACGCCTGGTGACCCCGGAGTCTCCCCACACTCCAACAACCGAACCCGCGTCCCTTCTATATCCGCCACAACGACCCACCTTAGATTAAAACTCGGATGATATACGGGAGGTGTGGTGGTGAGAGAAAGTGTAGGGGAGGTAGTGAGTCCATAAAGTAATACAGTAATAAGATTTTAATCAACATGTAATTGTAAAATCAACTAGTCATTGCCAACTAAAGTAACCATTGTGTAACCTCATTCTAAATCCTAGGTTAGCTTAGTTAGACAACAAATTCTGTAATATGTAAAACAAGGGGTGTCGGCCCCCTCTGTTTAACTCATTATTTTTTTTTTCCAACCTTCGCTCACACGACTATATGTCTTGACTTCTTTATCCCTCAAGTCTGGCTGTGCCTTGAGCCCCAGCATACCTTCCATCCTTTCCCCACCTTAACCAAAGAAAAAAGTGAGAAATACTCGAGGAAGTGACCAGGTGAGGAGAGATACTCGAAGATGTGACCAAGTAAGGAGAGACACTCGAGGAAGTGACCAGGTGAGGAGAGATACTCGAGGAAGTGATCCAGGTGAGGAGAGATACTCGAGGAAGTGACCAGGTGAGAAGAGATACTCGAGGAAGTGACCAGGTGAGGAAAGATACTCGAGGAAGTGACCAGGTGAGGAGAGATACTCGAGGAAGTGATCAAGTGTGGAGAGATACTCGAGGAAGTGACCAGGTGAGGAGAGATACTCGAGGAAGTGACCAAGTGTGGAGAGATACTCGAGGAAGTGACCAGGTTAGGCAAGATACTCGAGAAAGTGATCAAGTCAGGCGAGATACTCAAGTCATGACCAGGTGAGGAGATAGTTACCCAACGTGGTCAGAGTGGAGACCCAACTTCTTGAGACAATCCTCAGGAGAGACTCCACATGATTCACAATGCCTCGTTAACTTGGTCTCTGGCGGCAGCATCTCCCCCTGCTGGAGACGTTCCCTGGCTGCTCCCTGTTGGTATGGATGGAAGGCGTTACTTTGGTATGGAACACAGGAAGGAGGAGCTCTCTGCGCTGGAGGGAAGGGGTGGGGGGTGAAGGGGTAGGAAGAGGAAAGGGGTAGGGGAGGGAAAGAGAGGAAGAAAAGGAGGAATTGAAAAGGGAAGGAGGGAGTGAAAAGGGAGGAAGAGTTCAAAAGTGAATAAGGGAAGGAAGGGAGGGAGAATTCAGCAGTAAAGATAGGGAGGGAAGATGAATATTGAAGGTAAGAAAAGAGAGAGAGAGAGAGAGAGAGAGAGAGAGAGAGAGAGAGAGAGAGAGAGAGAGAGAGAGAGAGAGAGAGAGAGAGAGAGAGAGAGAGAGAGAGAGAGAGAGAGAGAGAGAGAGAGAGAGCATTATTAGTGGAAGAAATGAAAAGAGCAGTAGTGATGGAGAAGGAGAGAGGAAAAATAGAATTACGTTCCCCACCAAAGGAAGGAAAGAGTCTAATGGTGATGGAGAGGAGGTTACTGCGGCAGCTAGAGGGCTATTTACGACCCCGAGAGTGAAGACGTTTGAGGTGGGGAGGATGTAGAGGAGATGGAGTTGTGTGGTGTGGGGGAGGTGGTGGTGGGGTGAGTGGGGAGGTGGGAGGTGGTGGGAGGGAGTGTGTGGGGAGTGGTGTATGTGGTGGTGAGTGTGGTGTGGTGTGAGGAGAGTGTGGTGGGGAGGGAGGGTGTGGTGGTGGAGAGGAGGGAGGGAGGAGGGAGTGTGGGGAGGTGTGGAGGGTGGAGGGAGGTGGGGGGTGGTGGTGAGGGGAGGGTGTGGGGAGGGGAGGTGTGGTGAGGTGAGAGTGGGAGAGGGAGGTGTGTGGTGGTGAGGGAGAGTGTGAGGGGAGTGAGGGTGGGGAGAGGGGTAGGGGGAGGTGTGGTGGTGGGGGAGGAGGGAGGTGGTGAGGGAGAGGTAGAGGTGTGAGGTGTGTGGGAGGGTGGGAGGGAGAGTGGAGGAGGTGGTGAGGGAGAGTGGGGGAGGAGTGAGGGGAGAGGTGAGGTGGTGTGTGGGGGGTGAGGGAGGTGGTGGGAGGGAGGGGTGGAGGGAGAGTGAGGGGAGGTGAGGGGAGGGTGGGGAGGGAGAGGTGGGGAGGGGAGGTGGGGAGTGGGGTGAGGGGAGGTGGTGGTGAGGGAGAGGAGGGGAGGTGGGTGTGGTGAGGGGAGAGGGAGGTGGTGGAGGTGAGTGGTGAGGAGGTGGGGTGAGGGGTGGGAGGAGGGTGGGAGGGGAGGGGAGGGGAGGTGGGGAGGTGGAGAGGGAGAGGGGAGGGAGGTGTGGAGGTGGGTGAGGGAGAGTGGGGGAGGTGGTGGGTGGGGAGGTGGGAGGGTGGGGGGTGAGAGGGAGGTGTGAGGGAGGTGGGAGGTGAGGGGAGGGGGAGGGAGGTGGGAGGTGGTGGGAGGGGAGAGGGGGGAGGTGGTGGTGGTGGGTGGAGGGAGAGGGAGGGGAGGGTGGGGTGGGAGGGGAGGAGGGGAGGTGTGGAGGGGAGGTGTGAGGGGAGGTGGTGGGAGAGGGAGGGTGAGGGGGAGAGGGAGAGTGTAGGGGAGGTGTGGGTGGTGAGGGAGAGTGTAGGGGAGGTGTGGTGGGTGAGGGAGAGTGGGGGGTGGGGTGGTGGGGGAGGGGGAGGGTGGTGGTGAGAGAGTGTAGGGGAGGTGTGGTGGGGAGGAGAGTAGGGGAGGTGTGGTGAGGGAGAGTGTAGGGAGGTGGTGGTGAGGGAGAGGTGGGGAGGTGGTGGTGAGGGGAGGTAGGGGAGGTGTGGGTGAGGGGAGAGGGAGGTGTGGGTGGTGAGGGAGAGTGGGGAGGTGTGGTGGTGAGGGAGAGGAGGGGAGGTGGGTGGTGGAGGAGAGTGTGGGAGGTGGTGAGGGAGAGTGGAGGGAGGTGGTGGGTGAGGTAGACTGTAGGGGAGGTGTGGTGGTGATGGGAGTGTAGGGGAGGTGGTGAGGTTGAGTGTGGGGAGGTGTGGTGGTGAGGGAGAGTGTAGGGGAGGTGAGGGAGAGTGTGAGGCAGTAGTGGCGGTGAGCGAAAGAGTGGATAAGAAGTTAATCATTAACTGGAGGTGGAGGAGAAATTATGATATTGTGACAGCAGTAAGTGGTAGCAGGAGTAGGATGAAGAGGAGAAAGGGAGTGAGAAAAGCAGGAGGAGGAGGGAGAGGAGAAGGAGAGAGGAGGAGAAGTAGGAGGTTTGTGTGGAGAAAGGAGAGTAAGAGGCCGACAGTCGTGGAAGGGGAGAGGAAAGGATTAACTCTCCACAAAGGAAGTTCATCAGTGAGGGAGGCACTGTCATCAGTGAAGTCGAGCGAGAGAGAGAGAGAGGTAATACTAAGCATTATGTGTTCTCTAATGGTAGACCCTGCTGCCATATGGCATCACGAAAATTGTGACCAAGTCCCAGGTTGTTGATCTGTCTTTCTGCCTCATTTACACACAATTGCAGGGTCTCGATTGTTTCTCTTACTATTGACAACACAACATACATATATTGTTTCTTACTTTTGATCTTGTTTTCATTTTTGTTTTATTTTTGGTTCTTTATTATTATTTTTATTATTATTATTATTATTATTATTATTATTATTATTATTAATTATCATTATTATTATATTTTCAATTTTGTATTTTGTATTAAATTCTTTATTTATAATGAATTAATTATTATTATTATTATTATTATTATTATTATTATTATTACATTTTCGTCCCCCAGGCCCCGATGTGGCTCAGTGACCTGTGCCCGGGTGGACTAATCCCCGTGAAAAAAAATCATTGATAGTAGGTGACTCCCATTTAAATAAATCAAATAACACACCTATCCACAAATCAACAACAACAAGTTGTATTAACCACTACAACTATTCAAATAACAAGAGCACCATCTACCTAAATAAAAACAACTATATAAGCAAACATAAAAACTATCTACAGAAACAATAACTTGGTGTCCAACAACCACACATTCTAATCAATTAATGGAATGTAAACACTGGTTGCTATGATAAACACCCGTCAGCTTAGTACACATATTATACAGGCTCGTATGTGTAATAATTGTGAATGTTTGGAGAACAAAGTGATGAAGTAAGCCTCGCTCTAATGAGTTCCAGCAATGAGTGATAAAGCTTACGGGACACACACACACATGTACATGACGATCTGATAGATAGGACTTATGCATACTTCACCAACAATGCCTCCACCAAAAAAAGGAGAAAACGTGGTCAGCATAATGGGAACAGGCAACAGCAGTGCTATAATGACCCTGAGCTGAAAAAACTCAGGGCTAGGGTCAGGAGGGTGGGTAAGGGTTACAAACAATTTAGAACACCTCAAATGTTACAATTGTATCAAGCTTCCCTTGCTGCTGTCAGGGAACGTGTAAACGAACTCAGACAAAATGCATGGGAGACATATGTCAACAGCCTGAACCAACACACATCCCTCAGCAAAGCCTGGAAAGACATAAACATAATCAGAGGTAAAAACAGAAGACACGTCTCCCATCCAAACCCTCTGCAAAAGTCGAATGAGCTAATAACAAAGTGGGCTAGGACTCGGGGACTCCTTGATGCGAAGTCTGTAGAGAGAAGTAATCTTATTAGCTTTATGCTGGGCAAACAGCACGATGAGTGTGATGTTCCATATACTGAGTGGGAGCTTGACGCCGCCCTCGCCAGGGGTAGGTCTACTTCCCCTGGAGAGGACGGAGTCACCTACAACATCATTAGACTACTAAGGCGCGTGCCAGGCAATCCATTGTTGGTATTGTACAATATGAGTCATGCCGAGGGCCAACTACCCACATCATGGACCAGCAGTATTGTTGTACCAATACCGAAACCAGGACAGCCTGATGCCTTTCGTCCCATATCACTAACCAGCTGCCTGTGTAAAACCTTTGAGAGGATGGTTCTTGGCAGACTCTTATATAGAATCAGAGAACACATGTCTCCTAACATAAATGGCTTCACCCATGGTAAAGGTGTACATAATTGCATCACCACATTCCTAACTGTGCATGGTGATGAAAGGCACAGATACACCACATTTCTTGACCTAAAAGCTGCATTTGATATTGCCAATAGGCAACTGATATTGTACGAACTAGCCAAAATGGATATAGGAGGTAGGCTGTTACACTGGATAAGTGGTTACCTAACCAACAGAAGGGCTGCTGCACTGTTTCAGGGTTACAAAAGTGAAGTTAAAGATATGCAACTTGGTACCCCTCAAGGTGGAGTACTTAGCCCCACTTTGTTCAATGTTCTTATGAATGCATTATTAAATTTAATACCAGACAACCCCAGCAATATCTCAATCAGCTATGCTGATGATATTCTTATACATACTAAAACTCATCGTGAAATGCAAACCACCCTGAACCATGTATACGCAGCCTGTGAACACCTCGGTCTTATTATCTCCACTGACAAAACTAAGGTGTTCAACAAACAAGCTGGTAACCGCAAACGCGGCCCCGCCAAGTTCAAGATAGGTAACAACACTATTGACTATGTTTCTTCTTTTAAATATCTTGGTGTTTCCGTCCCTTGTACCCTACCTGCCATACAACAGCTAACCCGCCAATGTACTGACAGACTGAGACCTCTTAGAAGTGTAGCGGGGTACAGCCCGCACTATGGTGCTAATATTAGAATTGTTAAAACAATGTACCTAGGTTATATAAGATCTCTGATAGATTACCACGCACCAGCCCTGGTCATTCGTGACGGGAAAGGCGTTGTCAAGCTCGAGAAAATGCAAAATAAAGCCCTCAGAATTATCCTAGGATGTTCCATGAGCACTAAAGTACTTAATATGAGGAAAGAACTAGGTATACCCAGTGTTAAAGATAGAATAATTGAAGTCAACCTCATGATAGCCCTGAGGCTTCTGCGTGGTGATCCTGATAACATTGTTTCCTTAAAATTGCTAGAATGTATGAACCATGGGACTGCTGAGTCTAAATGGATCCAAACTACAGCTACACATA